GTTTATTATTGGTGTAAAGAAATGCGATTGTCTTTTGCACACTTATTTTATATCCTGAGACTTTGCCGAAGGCCTTTATCAGTGTAAGGAGGCTTTTGACAGATTCTCTTGGGTTTTCAAGGTAGGTATGCAATCATGTCATCTGCAAAGAGAGATAATTTGACTTCCTCTTTTCCTATTTGGATACCCCTAATTGCCTTCTCTTTTCTGATCGCTTTAGTCAGAACTTCCAATACTATATTGAACAGGAGGGGTGAGAGTGGGCATCCTTGTCTTGTTCCAGTTTTCAGGGGAAATGGTTCCAATTTTTGTCCATTTAGGAGTATGCTAGCTGTGGGTTTCTCGTAGATGGTTTTTACTACTTTGAGATATGTTCCCTGTATACCTAGATGCTCAAGGGTTTTTCTCAAGAAGAGGAGCTGGATTTTATCAAAAGCTTTTTCTGCATCTAATGATATAATCATGTGGTTTTTGTTTTGACATCTCTTGATGTATTTAATTACATTTATTGTTTTACAAATGTTGAACCAGCCTTGCGTCCCAGGGATGAATCCTACTTGTTCATAATCAAACTTCACTTTTAAAGTGCCTACAGAGTTCTGAAAATGCAGCTCTTACAGAAGTTTGAAATCATCATACCTCCTTATAATGGGAATGGCATATCCTAAGATAGTTGTAAGTCTTAATTTTTCAATTTTTTAAATAAAAGATTTTTTTACATTAAAAAAAGAAAATGAAAAGACAACCCACAGAATGTGGGGTGGGGGAAAGTTAGCAAATTATATATCTGGTAATAACTTGCATCTGAAATATATAAATAATTCTTACCACTCAACAATGAAGATCAAATAATCCAATTACAAAACAGGCCAAATGTTTAAACAGACATTTTTCCCAAAGAAGATATATAAATGAGGCTGGGCATGCTGGCTCACACCTATAATTCCAGCACTTTGGGAGGTTGAGGCAAGAGGATTGCTTGAACTCGAGAGTTCAAGACCAGCCTCCGTGATACAGCAAGACCTTGTCTCCACAAAAAAAATAAAGAAATATTAACCAGGCTGTGTGGCATGTGGCATGTGCCCATAGTCCCAGCTACTGAGGTGGAAGGATTGCCTGAACCCAGGAGGTCAAGTCTGTGGTAAGCCATGTTCATTCCACTGTACTCTAACTGGGGTGAAAAAGTGACACCCAGACTCAGAAAAAAGATCAAAACACATATATATGGCTGATATGATATGAAAAGGTGTTTGAAATAATTAGCTATCAAGAAAATGCTAATCAAAACCACAGGAATGGCTTATTCAAAAAGACAGAGAGTAGGCAAACTCCTTGGGTCCCCTTCCATTGTGGAAGCTTTTCTGTCCTCTCAACAAATCCTGCTTTCTCAATAATAATAATAATAATAATAAGACAGAGAGGAACAAGTGTTGTCAAGAAGATGGAGAAATGTGCACCTCGTATACTTTTGAGAGTACCAACGGTGTAACCACTTTGGAAAATGATCTGGAAATTCCTCAAACAAAATTATCATATAATCCAGCAATTCTGCTGCTAGGAATATACCTAAAAGAAATGAAAATATGCCTCCATACAAAAACTACTACACAAATGTTCACAGCAGCATTGTTCATGATAGCCAAAAGGCAGAAATAACCCAAATGTCTATCAACTGATGACTTTATAAGTAAAATATGGTATATCCATACAATGAAATATCATTGGGCAATAAAAAATAATGAAATATTAACTCATGCTACAAAATGAATGAACCTTGAAAATTACATTAAATGAAAGAAGCCAGTCTCAAGAGGTCACATATTGTATAATTTCCTTTATAAGAAATGTCCAGAATGAGAAATCTCATGGAGAAAAAATATAGACTAGTAGTTGCCTAGAGGGAGTTGTATGGAGAGAAATGGTTTGTGACTGCTAATGGGTAGAGGGTTGCTCTTTGGGGATGATAAAGGTGTTCTAAAACTGACTGTGGTGATGGTTGCACAACTCTGTGAGTATACTAAAAACCATTGAATTGTACACTTAAAAGGTATGAAATCTACGGTATGTGAATTATATCTAAATGAAGTTATTCCATAAAAACAAACAACACAGCTGGGCTTGGTGGCTCAGCCTGTAATCCCTTTGGGAGGCTGAGGTGAGTGAATTGCCTGAGCCCGCGGGTTCAAGACCCGCCTGGGCAGCGAGACCTCATCTCTACAATAAATCAAAAAATCAGCCGGGCATGGTAGCACATGCCTGTAATTCCGGCTACTTGGAAGGCTGAGGCGGAAGGATCACCGGAGCCCAGCAGGTCGAGGCTGCGGTGGCCGGGAACGGCCACTGCACTCCAGTCTGGGCGACAGAGTGAGACTCCAACTCAAAATAAAAAACACACACAAAACAGACCATATTTACTGTTCTTCTCTGGACTCAGTCTGGATTCTTCGCACCATTTAGATATGGCAGTAATGACCATTAGATAAAAAGTTCTAATGCTGGTCTGACTTTTGTAATAATGACAACTAGATGACTTAAGGACTCTACATTTCATATTTCCTTTGTCGATTACATTATTTTTATTTATATATTTATAGCAGCACTGAATTTTTATCATCATTTTATAGTAGCACATTTATAATCTGGCATAATGAAAAGTCATCAAATTCATTAAGTATGACTATATGACTGTCATGTTATATGCTGCTAAATTCTCATAGTCAGGCTTTCCCTATTTTAGATTTATGAATTTTTCTCTTTTTGGAAGATGAGAGTAAGGGTTGATGTGCTATTTGAATTTTGTCCACAGGTCAAATCTTGCATTTATCTTTACTTTTGGGTACTTTTGTTCAATTTGTTTTTCAAAAAATTAGAAGCTTGTATTTGGAATAATTTCAAAAGTCATTGCATATATCTTCTTCTAGCAATGTTATGAGTGAACATTAATTAATATATTCACCTGACAAATTAAGTGCTCAATCTGTGCCAAATCTTAGGGTACACAATGAAAACAGTGGGCTCTGGGAACTTCCTTCAAGCATGGGAAGAACAAGACAGCATGGAAAGTAAAAGGAATACAATAATTGAGAAAACATCATTAAAATAATGTTTAAATTCCAAAGTGACTCAAAATAATTCAATCTTTTTTAGAACATTGTGGTAAGAACCTTTTCACTGAAGCTTGCCACTAGAGGGAGGTACTATATCCAAAATATGTATCTTTAGACCTGAAACACAAACCTTAAAAGAGTTCTGACTTGATTTCTAGTTCTGAGTAAAAAAATAGTTCATATGTACAGTCACAAGAGGGGGTTGTTACAGTAGAAAACCCAAACTCTTTCCAGGATAGGGAGAGGCTTTAACTGAGTTGTGCAAATAATTTACATCCATCCCTTTTGTCACCTTGTACTTTATAATCTCTTCTATAGTATGTGCACAGCTTCAAGGGCATAGGCAAGCGTCTTCACAAATGCAGAATAAGCTGACTCCCCATAGGCAGAAAAGAAAGAGGTGGTTAATACATAAATCAATTTTAAATCGAGAAACATTTGTTGCTGTAATGGACTGACAAGCTTAGCTATTGTAGCAGGGAAAATGAGTAATTTTAATTTTATTTTTTCCCGTTTCTTTAATAACCACTTTGGAGAATAACTAGAAAAGTTCCTTCATGTTTTCTTTTACTTCTCTTGTCAAGTGGCACCATTTCATCTCCCTCTCCCTCTCCAAATCATCTCTTCTCATTTCTTTCTTTCTCCTTAGTGTCCTCAACATATGCCACTCCTAGGCATGGGCATGGAAAAGAGAAAACATGCATTAGAGAGGGGCTCAGGGGGGATAAAAATTGGTGCCAAGCCATTGGTGCTGTCTCAAAACCACAGGCACCCAGCAACGTCTACCTAGAAGACACTTAGGACATCATTTCAGAAGCCAGTGCAGGAGACCTGAGTACCAGGAGTCATGGCTTTTAACCTAGGTTCTAACCTTATTTTTTCCTGTCACACTGAGGACAGCAATACTACACAGCTATGAGATCATTTTTGTTCTACTTATGTTGCAAATATTTTCTCTCATAGAGTCGTTTGATTTTTAATTTAATTTTTTGACCAGAAAGAAGTTTCTAATTTTTGAAATTAAATTCTATATTTCTTCTTCTAAGACTTACTTGCTCTGGAGATGTGAATAGAAATGTTCTTCTTCCCTTTATAGCACAGGTCTCACACAGATTTCTTGGAATAAAGAATATTTTCTATCAGTTCAATGGGGCATCAAACCACAAATTAGTGGTGGGGTTTGCCTTTACCATAAATAAGGGATGGATAATCTCACTGTGAATGGTTTTACTCCCTCAGACATGGCTTCCTTTGCTTTAAACCTTGAAAATGATCTCAGTATGAACCTTCTGAATTAGAACAGGTCATTGAGAAAACATTCTTGTGTGTGTGTGTGTGTGTGTGTGTGTGTGTGTGTGTGTGGCGCGCGCGCGCGCTATCTTTTATTATCATCTACGAAAAAGATTTGAAAAAAATGTAAAACAATATCATTTTTTTCTTACTAATTTGGGAAGATAAAGCTGTTTTTTTTAAAGATTTTGTGTACAATCGAGGATTTGGTGTACAAATGGTCATTATGCAGGTACCTTTGTTAATGAGGTGTGCTCTCCCTCCCCTGACAGTTTCCCACAATTGCCACTCCCACCCACCCCCCGACCCTGCAGTTTTCCACCACTGCCGATCCCTTTCTTATCTTATCCTCTTTTTAAGTTTTATTTCATTTTCAGTCGGCAAATAATAATTGTATCTTGCTCTCTTTTCAAATTAATGTTTAAACCTGGGGAACAAGATAGGCCTAACCAGGAGGCTACTCTGTCTTTAGCTGCCTCTTGAAAGGAAACCTGCCTCTTGTTGGGGATGTGCTAGTGGCTGCAGCCTTGTTGCTTGAGACCTCCCCCAACCAGACACAGATTCAGAGCTCTGGGGCCTGGAACCCTAGTGTGCTCTTGAGATATGAAGTTGGTGGCAAGAATTACTGTGCTCCTAACTTTGGGTGAGTGTTCTGGGCCTAAGAAAGGGTGGCTTTTGTGACTAAAGACAACAGGGAGATATCTGCTGTCTCCACTTCTTCCACTGTGATTTACCAACTGCTGAAAAGAATCTGTGACCATGTCACAAGGAAGTCAGGCATCAGTGTGAGGGATTTACATCCTCTACTCACAAAAGATCCCTCAAGTCTCACAGCTCTCAGGCTGTAAAGAGTGTGGGGTTCGTTGAGCTCAAGGGTCAATTTCAAGATGGGAAATTTATCTTTGGCCCTGTTGCTCTGGGTAGCTCAGAAATAAATACCAGTAATATTTCTAGTATCCTGTGCAGCATGCTTGAAAATAATCAAGTATACGGTAGGGTGGGAAAGAGAGTTCTGGAGTGCCTGTGAACTTGACCTTTGGGTGCATCAAGAGTTGACAGTCCAGAGCTAATCTATTGTTTCTCAACCCCTCAGGTATTATGGGAGATGCTAAGACTACACAGCCAAATTCAATGGAGACTACTGAAGGAGAAACCGTACACTTGCCTTGTAACCACTCCACAATCAGTGGAAGTGAGTACATATTTTGGTATCGACAGATTCCCTCTCAGGGTCCAGAGTATGTGGTTCATGGTCTAAAAGGCAATGTGACCGTTGAAATGGCCTCCCTCATCATCTCTGCTGACAGAAAGTCCAGTAGCTTGATCCTGCCCCATGTTGCCCTGAGAGACACTGCTGTGTACTACTGCATCGTGAGAGACCACGGTGGGACAGATGGGGCTGCACCTGTGCAATATCTCCCTGGTGGGGAAGGGAAGCTGAAGCAACCATCGATAGAGGCCACTGCATAAGAATGAGCAAAAGCTCAACAGAAGAAAAGAAAAGAAAGGATGAAAGGAAAAAGAAAAGAAAAAGAGACGGTGAGGAAGTCAAGGAGGGGTGAATTCAAGGAACACAGAGATTGAGGAGGAAAAGCTGGATAAGTCAGGAATAAATCCTGAGGAACAGACTGAGAAGCTTACGAGGAGACTAAGAATCACAATTGCAATTCTGCAATCAAGAGGAAAGGAAATGAGAATTTGCTAGTGTCCTTTCTTTTAATCAAATGTTGCTTCTGTGTGGGTCTCATTATAAAAAGTGAGAACAGCCATTTGGCTGCCCCAAAGGCTTTCTTCATCTGGACCCAGAAAAGAGTCCGAGCTCTAGATGTGACATCATATTAGTCTTTCCAACCTGTCTAACATGAAAATGAATTTCAGCAGTTGATTTATTTGCCCTTGAGAAAAATTTGACACTTTCTTTGTTGCTCATCCATAGCACACAACCTTGGGGTACAGATGATTTTCAGAAGGGAGTAAAAAGGGACATATGTGGATATTGATTTTATTTTTCAATCAATGTTGAAATGCTTTTATGATTACCTAAAATACTCAAATCTTTTTTTCACTGTGAAAAGCTCAAGCTATTACCTGTGTGTAGACCTGAAAGTCTCCAACTGACTCATTCCCTTCCTTCCCATTTTATTTTCAACTCTACAATAACCCATTTTGAAAGTTTGGAGTGTCTTGACAATTATATTTCTTTTCATTTACATGAATACTCACATAAATATCTACTCAAATTCATGATTTTTTTAATTACATAAATTGTATCATACACCATGTGTATTTGTCTCTAATTTTTTTTTTTTCAAAATGCTTTTGGGGGGTGTGATAATTCCAAGATACGTGTGTGTGTGTGTGTGTGTGTGTGTGTGTGTGTGTGTGTGTGTGAATTGACTTTTTTTCAATACTTAAAAAAGCTTCATAGTATAGTTGCATAATAATTTAACTTGTTCACCTGTTAATAATATTTAAATTTTGCTTCTCTTAGTTGTCATACCAGAATCATATACATATAAGCTTTCTAAAGCACACTTTCTTAATTCCAACTTGATAAATATAAACTTTAACATTTTCTTCTAATCAAGAGCATTCTTTTAGTTGGCCTGAACTGACAGGGACCTTAACTATGGCTTACATATTTCACAGGGGAAGATAGGGCTCTTGGATAAAATAACAGACTCCACAATTCTACATTTCACCTGTAGAAGAGATGCTATATAGGATGATTGTAATAATAAATTAATGGATCAAAAATAAAAAACAATAATATTTGTTATGGGTTAAATTGGGTTACACATACAAATACATTAAGTTAGATTCCCTAACTAGGTAACATACATTGGTACTTGTATGTGATTTGATAAACACATTAATCCAGTAGTTCACTGGCTGCCATTTTTACTCCTTTTATGTAAAAACTGTGCATATTTACAGAAGTTACTTTAAAACACTTCTTCATTCAACCTAGTGACTATAGTCATAGGATAACAGGTACCAAAAATGATGTACATAATTTTGGACATCTGGTGGGTATAGGAGAGCGTTATTGGGTCTTGAAATATTCCTTAAAATAGTCTGTAATTACCTAAGTACAAAGACCACAGAACATAAAGTCTTCAAAATGATGGGTTGTTATTAACCGAATTGTGCCCCTCTCCCCCCCAAAATGCATATTTTGCAATCCTAACTCCAAGTACCTCTGAATATAACTTTATTTGAATTAAGGTCTTCACAGTGTTAATCAACCTACAATGAGGTTGGTGGGGTGGACCTTAATCCAAATGGCTAACATTCTCATATAAAAGGGAAATTTAGAGACAGACATACCATGGGGAGAGTGCCATGTGAACGAGAAGGAGGAAATCAGCGTGATATGTCTACACGCACAAGATCCTTCCCTCACAGCCCCCTAGAGAAACAATCCAGCTGGCACCTTGATTTCTAACCTCCAGAATTGTGAGACAATGAATTTTTGTTTGTTAAGCCACAAACAAAAGTTTGTGGTACTTTGTAACGGCTACTCCAACAAACTAATACACTATTAGAATTCTTTCCACTGCTTCCCCATCACTCAGCAAATCTGCTTCCCCATCAGTCAGTTATGCCTCCTTATCACAGCCTAACATTAGTGTCTGTGATGTTCTTCACTCTAAGTGACACATTCCTTTTTTTTTTTTTCAGTTTGTTCTTTGCCTAAACAAGAAGCTGCTCAGGAAAATGTTCCCCTCAGAAGGTAAAAAAAAAGTTGTTCTCATATAAATAAAGACTGGAATCCATTGCAAAATTTGTTTTGCAAGAAATTCTAGAAGAAGTTCTTCAAATGAAAGGAAATAACACCAGCTGGTAATCTTAATCTACATAAAGAAATAAATAACACAGGCAAAGGTAAATTATATTGGTAAATATAAACAGAACTATAAATATATTTTCTCTTTTATTTTCTTAAATGATTTAAAAGAGCATTGCATAAAACAATAATTTTAAAATTGTGATGTTAGGCTTGTACTCTATAAAAATATAATATATATGACAATAAAAGTACAAAGAAGGGGGCAGAGAATGGAACTATTTTGGAAAAAGGAAATGACACCAGACAGTAACCAAAATCCACAGAAGCAGCAATGGAAGTGGTAAATATTTGTATTAATATAAAAGTATATTTTCCTTTATTTTCTATATTTTCCTTTTAATTTTTTAGAAGACATAAGCTTGCATAAAGCAAAAATTAATACACTCTGTTATTGAGTTTACAACATCTATAGACATAATATTAATATGTTTGCCAGAGTAATAACCCAAAGGAAGGGAAAAGAAATAAAGCTGTATTAGACCACAGTTTCTGTATTTTATTGCAATTAAGCCAACGTTAATATGAAATTGATGGTGATACATTTAGATGTAATTGCTAATGCAACTACCAAGAAAATAACTCAAAAATTTCAAGCAAAAAAATTAAAACAACAAATGGGTTAAAAAGATATATGGGAAAATATCAAACACAATAAAAAATGGAAAAGGAAGAGCAAGAGAACAAAAATGACAAAAGAGAATATAATATTTATAAACATATGCTCCCCTAAAAATAGAACTTCAAAATTCATGGAGGGAAACTGGCAGAACTGCAGGGAGAAATAGTCAATTCAACAATACTAGTTAGAGATTTTAATAACCTAATCCTAGTAATTCATAGAGTAACCAGACAGAAAATCAGCAAGGACATAGAAGATAGAACACCATCAACCAGCTTGACCTAACTGATATCTATAGCACTCTTCCCCCAACAACAGAAGAATAAACACTCTTTTCAAGGGCATATGGAACATTCTCAATATAGATGCCATGTGGGACACAAAACAAGTAGATAAACTTTAAAAGATTAAATTACAGAGTGTATTTTCTCTGACCATGGTGGAATTAGAGATGTACAACAGGAAGAAATCTATGACATCTCTAAACACTTAGAAATTAAACAACACACTTTTAAATAACCAATAGGTCTAAAAAGAAATCACAAGGGAACTTAAAAAAATGTTTTGAGCTGTATTAAAATAAAAATACAGCATAGCAAAAGTAATTGGATGCAGCAAAAACACTGTTTAAACATAAATTTAAAGTACTAGATGCTTATATTTGAAATGAAGAAAGGTTTCAAACTAATGAAAGGTTTCAAGCTAAGGAAATAGTAATGATTAAGTTAGAGAAATATTGAAGATTTAATGTCTACTAAAATTAGACATTAATGAAATGGTAAAAAGAAAACAATATAACATGTCAATGAAATAAAAAATTTGTTCCTTGAAGAAAAAAAAAAATAAACCTTAGCTAGACTAACCAAGAAAGTAAAGGGAAAAAAACTAATTACCAAGAATCAGGAATGAGAGAGGTGATATCATTACAGATTCTATATATATTAAAGGATAACTGAATGTTCTGTATAACTTTAAACCCATCAATTTGACAGCTTAGATGACATGACTAAATTGTTGAAAGATACAACTACCAAACCTGGGTCATGAAGAAAGAGATAATCTGAATAACCTTGTATATATTAAATAAATTGAATTTGTAATTAAAAACGATCTCAGGGATTGGCAGTAGCAGGATACTGCCAAGGTGAGGGGTGGGCACATAACATCAATAAGGGTAACTGATCTCAAGCCAGGTGAAGTGAGGACTAAAGGAGGGCCCAAGCTTTACCTGTATGATGACCAATTGTATACCTAACCCTAAATTGTACCTCACATCTTTAAAATTAAATTTAAAAAACTTTCTCGCAAAGAGGACTTCATGCTGAAATTGCTTCACTGATTATTTCAACCAAACTTCTAAAATATGAAATAATAACACAAAAAGTTGAAGAGGTGAGACTATTTCCCAATTTAATCTCTTAAGCCACCATTTCCAGTATGCCAAAACCAGACCACAGCATCATGAAAAAAGAAAATTTTATTAAATAAATCTCATGAACATAGATGCATTAAAAAATTTTAACAAAATTTTAGCAAATGAAATCTACCAATAAGTAAAAAGAAAATTAGGGATAAGATGGCCAATTAGAAGGCAGCGAGAGTGTGTTCCTTCTACAGAGTAAGGCAACATACAGAGAGTTTCCTCATACCCAGAGAGAAACAGAAGCAACAGCACGCCCCATAGCTCATCAGAGAAGCAATAATAATAACCACATAGTGCAAAGAGGAAAACAAGTTGATAAACCTGGATTGGAACGAGCCAGACTTTTGCTTGAATCACAACACAGACCATGAAACCATGAGCAGCCTCCAGATGCAGTAGGGAAGGTGAGTGAGGAAAATTCAGGAGTCCTGTGCTCCTGCCCCAGACATGGAAGGTCCCCTCGGCCTTGCAGAACCTCAGTCCCTCACAGAATCCTGCATTGCCTACAGCCATTCTCTGCCAAAGCCCACTTGGAGTGGTTGAGGGAAAAAAGCCCTAAGCAGCTACAGCCACCA